AGGTATTGTAGCTGTGCTGGTCCCAGCCCCAAAGAAGAGCTTTGTGAAAGGCTGTCTCTTCTCCCAACAGAAGTCGATCTAGTAAAAGGTACTGACTCACTCCCCTTGTGTCTCATGTTTTCTATCTGACATTTCGAAGCAGCTTTCTCTATGGCTTCTAGGCACTAGCCCAGCTATGAATCTTCACAGTGCCCCTTTAATATTAGGGTTGCAGTTAGTACCGCAGTTCATGTCCTGTGTGCAGGTCTGAGATCCTACCCAGCTACGCTGTCCTACCAATAGCCTTAGCTCTGGGCTGGAGGAGGGGAAAGTTCCCTTTCCCTGCTGGCTCCCGCCCGAGGCCTGCCTTAATGCTGTCGGTTTATCCTACTGAGATTCTGAGGACGTGGTGCTCGACTATTGAGCGCACATTCTGAGCTGCCATCAGCCCAGTGCAGGAAGCAGGTGGGAGCAAAAGTGCATCACCATTTCCCCTAATTTCTAGGACCAGCTGGGAACCGCTCCTGCTCCTGCCTCTGGTGCTGAGAGGTTGTGTAGGCAGCTGGGAATAGTCGGAGGACAAAGACGCTCCGGCCTGCGTTCAGGCCCCTGCCACGCCACCCAAGAATACCCTTTATGAATGGGAACCTGGCAGAAAGTCACTAACTGGTTTACACAGGGCTCCCCTTCAGCACTTGCTACATTAGCCCCGAGTTCCCTCAGCTCTGCGGATGCACCTCAGCGCTGACTTGCCTCAGTCGCAGATATTCTAGCCCTGGACCTCTCCTGAGCTGACCCCCCTGCTAACATGCCTCACTGGCTCCTCCCCAAATCTCCACCGTGAAAAACCTCTCTGCAGGCACGTGCAAATGAGGTTGTCAAAGCAGCAAAACAAATCATTCAGCTGATGAAAATGATGGAAACTCCACTGACTTAGGACAGGAAAAAGGACTTTGTCCCACCAGTGGCCTCTTGCAAGGCACCTGCTGGAGACGCATCCTCTGCATGTTATTCCTCAACTGGTTCGCTCTTTGGATTCCTTTTGTCTTGCCAGTCTTACAGCAGCACATGGAGCAGGATTTTCCACCTGCTCCTCAGATCTTCCACCCGGAGCATCTCTTTCTCCCGGCTAGTTAGCCCTTTAGAACACCGTGTTTAGATAACACTGATGAGCCAGGCTTTGGGACTCTGCCTGTAGGAGGGATTTGATTGGGGTCCACCAGGCAGGAGGCTGCTAACCTCATTTCACTTCAGACTTCCCCTCAGACTCAGGGCTTTACATCCTGCTTCCCTCTGGGCCACATCCCACTGCAAGAGAAAGGAAAGCAGGTGGAATCAGTCTGCTCTCCTGCAGCCCCCTCGCCAGACTGCCAGCATCGAGCACCATTCCCATCCCTCGGCACGGATGGGCTTGGTGGAAATGACACTGCCAATCAGGCCCTGGGGCGGGGACAAACGGGACACTTGCCTCCGGACCCAGCGATTCAAAGGGGCCTGGAACCGCCTTGTCACCTCCACTGGTGCTGTGGCAGTGACGGCGGCCACGGTCACAGCCACGGGGTCTTTGAATTGCCACTGGCATGCCACGCTGTCTGCGCCAGAGCCCCAGGCGGCACACTCTGGCTGGCGCTGAGGGCAGGAGGGTGTGACTCACTCCGGGCTGCCCCAGCCCCACCCCTTCTGCCTGAGGCCCCACCCCTTCGGGGATCGAGGAGCCAAGGTCACCCACCCGCTTTGCCCAGGGGCCTGGCGATTCTGTCAGCCTCCCTGCTGTCAATATACACCTTGACTGTTCGTTTGCTTTGGGCTTTTTTGTTTCTATTTCCAGTTACCTGCAGTAGCCCCAGGGAGCTCTGAAAACATGGGGCCAGATCCTATTAAATCTCATGAATTTACAGCAGATGAGAATAGGCCCCAAAATGTTTTTCTGGCCTATTTTTCTCCCTTTCTCCTTAGTAAACATCAATTCCCCTTTGTCTCACCTATTGATTTATTTTCTTCAGTGCTGAAATTGACACGGCCTTTTGGTTTCCTTTCTTATTTTACCATCCGCATAGTGATGCCAGCCCAGCTGCCGAACAGTCAGAGGGGAAGCACATGCTTTACTTTGGTAGACTCAGAAACCTGAGACGACTCACAAGACGGTATTTCAGCAAGAGAAATAGGCAGTGAGAATTCATCAAGAAAGCATCACTACCTGGGTAAATTAAAACCAGGTGCTGCCTCCCACCACAAGGTGACGCTGTTCAGGTAGTCATGTGTCATTGCCCCTTTAATACAGTCAATTATTTATCCTCCAGGGAAAGGTTTTGAAAGTAGAGATGTTAAAATGTGGAATGAAAATGTCAGCGGTTCCATGCGGCAGTCGGTTCCCGGCAGCTGGTATGTGTCGGGAGCGGCTTTTAAGCCAGCTTCCCTTGCGTCCTGGGAGCCTGTGTGTAATTTTGCATGTTCACAGATGAGCCTGGGTTACTGTTTACAGGGTTACACTTTCCCATCACTGTCTGAAAGGCCAGGTGCTCCTGAGGGGAGGGAAGGTTTGTATGCGGCTTCACTTCAGGTTGCTAAAGAAGTGCCGAAAAGCAGGTTTTGTGGCTTCTAGAAATTCCTCTTCTTGTCACCTGATGAAATATCAGGATCAGAGAACGCGGCCTCCCTGCTTTGGCTGGGAAACTCCTTGGAGGAGCAGATGAGTGAAGCAGGAGCTCAGGTATCTTCGTTTCTCCGGGGAGTCCTCTTCTCCCTCTCCAAAAAACTGGACAGTTGCCTGTATGATGGGAGTGTCCAGCGGAGCCTGCTGCTCCTTCCCACTGCTGCTGTAGTGCAGGGCAAGCGGGGGAGGAGAGGAAGCAAAGCCATGGAGTGGGCCAGCTCCTGTCATGCAAATACTCCTGCCTGTTCCCTCTGTTGCAGAGCCAGGCAGGCCCACTGGGGGGGGGGGTCTAATCTTACAGGCTTCCTACTCATTCCTTTGCCTTTGGCTCACAGTTAGGCAGGGGGAGTTGTACCAACTGCTAGAGCCAGATACAGGGGCAGGCGGGTGAGTCCCATCACAAACACACTGGAGGCCCTTTGAGGTTAACCCTGATGTAGTGAATGGGGCCAACAGGCCACCTGTTACATGCAGATGCCCTTTGCTTCCTGGTTGCAGCTCCCTTCTTCCATCCGCCCCCAGGGGATGCGAGTGAGACACTTGTAAAGAGATCTGAGTTCAGAAATCCCTGCGTGTTTGTGCTGATCTAAGCAGGCTGTAACTTCTCCAGAGGCTGCCGGCACTTCTCACAGAGTGATTCGTTAATGTCACAGACAAGGATTCTGCTGACTTCAGTTTGGCTCCCATGTTGCCTCTGACAGACTCTTTCTTCATGGGGGAACACCCCAGGCCAAAACGAGGAGGAAAAACAGCCCTTGAGCTAACTGAAAGCAGCCCAAAGGGAAGGGCTTTCCAGTCGCGATGCCTCTTGCTGGCTGGCTTCTGTTCTGGGCTTGGGGATGTGCCAGACTTCAGGGCCTCTGTGCTTGTGAGTCCTGTTTATCCCCAGCAACATGATTGCCTGTAATTATATATAATCTCTCCCTTGTTTACTCTTCTCCATCCAGGTCTGAACACGGCTTGTCGGCAGCTTCCTGCAACGCTGTCAACACTCCGGATCCAAAATGTTTCCTGACGTCCACAATCTTCTCTTTCAAAAGTAACAGCAAGGTTTGATTCACTCCCCCCACCTCGGCCCCCCAGCTGCATATTCTCACTTCCCTGCACTCCTCCCCTCCCTGGTACATGGACCATTCACACAGAATGTGGAAACACTTTGTTCACCTGGCCTGCAAATTAACCTGGAGTGTGACTGAAAGGAAACAAATCTGTTGTGTTTAGTTACATGACCATAGTGTGAGCCTGTGGCTGGTGTTTCCTCTGGCTTTTCCCTTTTTGTTTAACCCCCATCCATCTAACCAGGAGTGGTCCCGAAATGGCACAGCCAGATATCTGTGTGGTGTGGATGTGTTTACACTGAGAACAGAGCAGAAACCACTTTTGACCATCATTTAAATCTGTTGGTGAAGTTAATGCAACATATCCCAATTGCTAAACGTGCGCCTAGAAAAATCTGTCTCGGTACCTTTGGCACCGAGCCCAGAGTCGCTCACCTACCCCTGAAGCATGTGTAGACACAGACAGACCAGGGTCTCAAAAGGGACCACTCCAGCTACAGAGAGCAACCTCAGCAGACACTCAACTTCAGGGAGTCTTCAGTTACATTCGGCCCTAAAGGAGACTGTGGAAGTGACAAAAGAAGGCCTGCCGACGGTGTGGGGGAGGAGACAGCTGCCCCCCAGCCAGCGATTCAAAAGGGCCCAAGGCTCTCAGCTACTGCTGCCACTACCTAGCGGTCGCAGCTGAGATCCTTTAAATTGTCACTGAGTGCCAGGCAGCTGCTCCAGGTGGCACTGAAGGGCAGCCAGGGGAGTCTAGCCCCACCCTTTTTGCCCGAGGTTCCCCATCGCCTATCTGGGAGCATGGAGCTGCCCACCCGCAACCCAGCCCATGGGCCTGGCAGTTCTGCTTTGCGGTGTGTGGACAATGAAACAAGGCCGATGAACTCGGTTAAAGGCTGTTGCATCATAATTCCAAACAGAATGGAATCCTGAACCTCATCCATGGCCATCAAGGCCTAATTAAATGCCACGAATGGGCCAACCCGTCAGTGGCTAGGCCTCAGCAAGAAGCTCTGATTTATTTTACCTTCGTGTGAACGTTGCAGCACTAGCACACCAACACGACGGCAATGCCCTGAAAGAACAACAAATGATCAGCTGGACTTCCGAAGAGACTAGTTACAGGACTATGCACTTTCAAAGATCACCATCACCCCTGTTTTTCCCCAGGGATGTGGAAATAATGCACTTGAAAGAGATCAAATGTTGGAATGTTACAGAGAAACTGCAGTGCAATTTTGTTCACATTTAGTGTTTTTCGTGAAAGGCCGGTTGCAGAATTTGCCGTTCCAGATGAAATATGATGCCAGCCATGTTACTGGCAGCCCATGTTACCACCAAGCAAATGGAGAGATGGAGGGAGGGCTACAGATATTGAAGAAAATCCTGTAGCAGAAAGCTCCATTCTTTGCTCTTCTGAATTACAGACCAGCACCAGACAGTTCAGCACAACTCATGATAGGAGGATGACTCCAGTTCTTTTCCTCGGGCTGAGCAGCAGCTTTCCCCAAAGTGGTCCTGCCTGAGGGCAGGGGCCAAATCGGACAATAGGGCCCAAGGAGCTCAGAACACTTTCACAAGAGATGTCACTCCATTAAAGCACTACCAAGACTAGAACCTGGTGCAGGTGTTTTTGTCATATTAGATGGGGAAAAGAGATGGGCAACGCCAGCTGTCATAAAGAAGAATTCAGCGCCCAGATTATAGGTGATTAAGACCAACGCTGTAGAGTTCAACATAAGCCATCGACATCTACAGTTTGATTTAGGGATGTAATAGTGTAATTGATTAAGCGATAAGTGAAAGCTTATAGGTTAATGCTATAGACTACTTGCATTTTCCCTCCACTCCTTGCCAGTAAATTTTTTAGCAGGCTGGCCAGCAGCCCAGCTCAGTCCCGGCTTGCACTGGGTCCTGGACCTACCCCCGCTGCGGCTCTGCATTTAAAGTGTATTAGGAGGGAGGTGGGCAGGCAGCCCAGCTCCAGACTCCTCCCCTCCCCCCCCCCCAGACAGGGGCTGCTCAGGGGCTATAGAATAGTCAACTAACCAATAAGAATTCATGAGGTTAATTGACCGTTCAATTCACCGATACTTAACATCCTGAGTTTGATCCCAGAGATGTAGTGGATTGTTGAACTGTCACCAGGTGGAGCTGTGTAAAATACCTTAATTAACCTAAGCTCAGCCACTCTGGGCAAAGCGTTAAAGGATGTTAGGACAAACACATCTGGGATGTGTAAGCAAACTCTGTAACCACACCTGGTAGGGAAGAACATGATAAAAGGAATCCGAGTTGACTGATGCAGAGGATCCTGAACTAAATCAATCTCTACACACCAATGTGGGCAGAGAAGAGAGTCTCATCTATCCAATTTGGCCGCGCAAAGCCTGTAAAATGCAGGGATCAGGGGAAAGTGCTGCAGGCTGCGGAGAAACGGAATCGTTGTGTAGTTTCCAGTTCAGTTTGATTCCCATAAAGCTTCAGGAAAACACTGTGCTTGGAAAGAAGTGTAACACTAAAATCCATCCTTTGCTTTCTTAGAGCCCCCACCCCTTTTTGGTTTAGGCTATTTGAATGAAAACAGGACTTGTGTCTTTCTCTCTCTACTGCTCACTCCCCTGAAACTCTCCTCTTCAGTTTGCAGTTACCAAAGTAACTCCGAGCAGTGTTTCAGACAGAGAGGTCTGATAAACAGCAGGCGCAGATGAACTCCTAAGAAGCATAGCTTTTACCTTTGGCTCAAGCACCACGCAACTTCCTTTGTTTTCTGAGAAATGACAGTGGCTGTTTAAAGGTAAATGATTGGAGGGCAAAAATCAACCAGTATGTGTTTGGCACAGGCAGCTATTTCCAGCAGATACTGTTCATGTTAAAACGTGTAGAAACCAAAGGTAACGTAGAAAGTGGATGGCGTTTTTCTACGAACCTTCTCTCCCCTGGTGTTTTTCTTTCTATTTCCCCCTGCTGCAGCTCCACTAGCAGTCTGACTGTCATGATCACTAATGCAAACAGGCTGTTGGTGCTTACTAGCATTTTAAAACACCTTCTAGGCCTTCCTAAGCAGGATTAGACTGTGGTTAAAAATACCGGCAGCCCATCCGTGCTAACCCTGCCATCATTGCTATCACTGGTGGAGTTGACCCAATAACCACCGTGAGGGGAAATAGGAAGGAAAATTCCAGTGCAGATACAGCCTTTGAGAAACCTCTCTTGGTACAGAACGCTCTTTTTTATTTACACAGTGCCCCAGAATGTGTTAAGTGCATAAAATATGCAAATGGGACCTGGTTTCTGGGGCTATCCAAACATGAGGCATGAACAACATCCATATTGCTGAGCAGCTATTGCTATGGAAAGGTGGCCAAGCTGTTTGCTGAAAGTTTTTCTATTGTAAGATGCCATTACGTGGTGTGACAGGTGCACTCACCTTGCACTGGGTGGGGAAGGGTTAACATCTAACTGTAGGCTTTCAAAGCCACTCCCCCGGTCCGTACTGGGCATGTTCGAGGGGTAGCACCAGTATAAAAGGGAAGCGCCAGCTTCATTGGGGCTAGCCATTGGCAGGAAAGGATGCATGTGGCAGGTTCCCGCTCAGGAGCTGCAGAAGCCCAGACTAAAGGAGACGCAGACAATGACACTCAGGCAGATGCTGGTGGAAGTTGGAGCCTGCTGGATCAGCACAACCTGAGGAGACCAGAGACCCCAGAGAAGATGCCAGACCAGGAGAGCAGGCATCGTGGTAGGACATAGCCCAGGGAGGGACTAGCCATTGTCCCTACAGCAGTTGACAGATCCCCACCGAGACAGTGACAGGCCGTCTTGCCACTAGCAGGACCCTGGGCTGAGACCCAGTGGAACACAGAGTCTGAGCCTCCATATCCTGGCCAATGCCCAACCCCATTGACTCTGACCACTTACCCTAACCACCCTGTAGGCATTGATGAACCTCTTGACTCTGGCTGCTAGGCTGCACTGCCCTGACAGACAAGTGATGGGTATTGACTCTGGCCTCTAGTCCTTACAGTCAGGGGAGTTGAGGGTTCACTGTAGACCTGCTACCAGACTGCACAGCCCTACAGCAAAGAGCCGATTGGTGGATTTAAACCCTTGGACCTTACTGCTTGAGGCAGAAGGAGGCGTGAAGGATGGGGTACACTCATCCCCACGGAATGGGGATCTCCCATCGTACATGGAAACGCTGATTTTAACCACAACTCGGTCGGGAAGATTTCTCTGGAGAGGGAGATTTTCTATAGCCGAGGCCATGGAAGACCCAGGTCCCCCCCAAAACACGGTAAGTCTCCAGAATGCTTGTGAACTACCAAAAAGTATCCTGAGACGTGACTCCACTGAGTTGCAAGAGCGTGTGATAGAGCCTGAAATTCAGTCCATGTCCCCACTGTGTACAGAGCCATAAAGACAATAGTGAGTATTTCACACTTCTTTGGATTTATGAATGAATGAATGAATGAAATAAAACTAAGTTAAAAGAACTGAGGCCTAACTGTAAGTTGCCTTCTGAATCACTGATCAGCTCTGAGCCCTGAATTCCAGAAATGTGGGACAGAAGGGACCTCGAAAGGTGACTAGTCCAGTCTCCTGCCCTCACAGCAGGACCACCCAGACTCAGTGTCAGAGAAATGAAGTTCCGTGGGGAGGACAAAGAACCTCCTTTCACCCACAAACGCCCCCATCGGAAATTGAAATGCTGCTGGAGTTTGACTGTGCAAGAGCCATGTTCTCCGAGCCTGTACACACTGTCCCTTGAGCTGGGAGCTGCACAGGGCTGACTGCTGATTGGTACGTTTCCATTAGCTGTTTCAGGCCTGATCATCGCATCCGTGTATGGTGGTGGTGACACATCCCTTCACCTGTGAACCTTCGCTTGTCTTAAACCCAGGTCCTTACTCATCAAAGCCGTTTCCTTGCTACCCCAGAGTGGAGTTGGCAGTATTTACTGCCAGGCTGGCCTACTGCAAGGCAGACAGCTCGCTGTGGAGGGGTGCAGATCCCTCGGTTGCTTGATCCCTGGCCTTCAGGTGCAGAAGAGGCTGGTCATTGATGCTGCCCGTGGTAATGGAGTCGGGTGGTGCAGATTCAAGGAGGCCAACTCTCCTCTCTGCCTGCTGGGTCCAGCTGCTGTTTGCTGATGAGTGGTCCCAATCTGAGATAAAGTAAAAAACCCGAGAGACCGAAATTCTCTTCTAATCCACCGGGGGTGGGGAGCTAGTGTGGTCTAGTGGCTAGAACACCCGTCTGGCACTCAGATATGGATTCTGTTCCAAGCTCAGCTCTCACCTTTGGGAAATCTGTTACCCCTTATTTGTTTGATCTGTGTAGACTGTGAGCTCTTCATGAGAGAGACCCTCTCTCTTATTCTGAGAGAGTCCACACTGCAGCCCAGTCTCAGCTGGGCCTTTGGTGTTGTTCTAATAAAATGTACACAGACAGCCGGGCAAGTGTCCCAGGCACATAGCTCTGCAAGAAGGCCTGAAACCTGGCGTAGGAGTCTCTCAGCCTCCCATCCATGCCTCGGGGTCTTGTGCCTGCCAACAAAGGGGCTAAAGAGTCCCAAATGCAAAGTGGTTTTGGGGAGTTGAACATCTGCCCTTCGGAACTGGAGTGAAACCACCAGACTCCTTTCATGGAAGCCTTCAGGCTGCCTGTGATGGAAACAACCTTCAGCTACAATTGCCACCTGGCTGGAGTAGAACTAGCTGCCTACCTCAGCCCCACCGTGCTAATCCTCAGAGCCATGCAGTTCCCCTCATAACATGCCCTCCACTCCCACCTCAGTCACAGTCTTAGCCTGATGCAGTTTGGCAGCACTGAAATGAACCAAATGTTGTTTCCATCTCGCCTGTTTATCTCCTGTTTCCTTGCTTGAATTATGAAACCCATTCCTCTGATTCCCTGTCCATTCCCTGTGCTCTGTCCCAGCTTTTCCGTTCTCCCCTGCTTTGATACAACATCTTGCAGGTCCTGCTTCACACTAAGAGAAGGGGTATTAGATGGATTCCCCATAGAGTATCCATTGACCTGAGAGAGGTGCCCAGTTTCTCTGCAATAATTGATCTGATTAAAATATAACCTCCTACTCTTCCCAGCCACCCCCCAAAAGAGCCTGGGTGTAATATTTTGAAGAATTATTCAAATTGTTGGAAAGGGGATTTAGACAGGAAAATACTGCCAAAAATAGTTCTCTGGGGAAATACCATTTGCTCAGAAATTTAGAATATTAGTTCTATGAAGATGTGGAGAAAGAATAAATAATTCTGTGTCAGGTACCTGTGTGAGCTCTGCTTCTGTCAGAGCCTTGATTTTTTTATATATATATAAAATATATAACAACTAGCGATTATGCAATGACTGTGTTGTAAAGCGAGACTTTCCTGCTAACACAGTTGGCATCACACTCTGCTAAACCCGCCTAACACATCCCAAGTGAAACCAAAATTCCACTTCGTAAAAACCATGACTGCTTGTTTGCCACCTGGACGGGTTCCTGATCAATACTGGCTCCAATTAGCAGCCTTCTTCTCTTTCCACAGCGCACATTTCTTTATTTTCATAGGCACCTCTAAGTCACCCCGCTCCACATAACAGCCACATAGAGGAGGTCATCTGCGCTTGCATTCCAGTCCCCTCTGCGGCCGGCAGTCCCTATTGCTTGGAGGGAGAGAGGCATATATTTCCGTTTCAGACTGCCGCCACAGCGGGCGGTGATTTATAACAGCAGCTACCATGTGAATGTCAAGGGCAGAATTGCTACAGACATTCCAGCTGCAAGAGAATATGAAAATTGGCTAGTTGGCTGTGGCGCAGTCCACCCG